ACAAATGAGAAAGCTGGAACTTCAGTATCAATCAGTTCTTACAAGCAAAAAGCGATGACGGGAGCAGGGAGTATTGGATCATCACCTGCTTTTCCAGGCTCAATGTTGCAATCACAGAAAGGTTTTCTGTCGGAGCCCTCGAAGCTGCACTTCACCAGGGAGACAAGTGAAGGAACTCCATTAAAGCAATTCCATGATGTAAGTTTTATCTTGGATGAAATGAAAGGTAGAGTGTGCTTGTGTGTGTCTTGTATCCTGTATCAACATGCTCTTTTTTCTTCAGTATCTTATTCATTTATCATCATTTTTGGTTGGAGTCTTAAATGCATTCTTTTATCTATTATGGGAAGTCTCCTCCCTGACCCCTTTTTTTCAGTCAGTCCTTTTGGTGTGATAGGATTTGTTAATTTCTCAACTTTTAGCAGTAAGCTAGTTTCCTCAATTTCTGCCAATATAGTTTTACTAATTGGTTATGCATAATTGAAACAATTAATATATTCTTAATTGAACCTGGATCTTCGTATATGCTAGCATATGCTCCTCCTATGATTTATTTGCGCCTTCCCAATTGTGTTTTTTTATTATGAGAATTTAATATTATATCCTGTGTAGTTTCTCGTATTTACATGGTAGGATGCATTTTCTGAATACACTGGATATGTTGTTGTTGATCTGATAAGTATACTTGAAATTGCTTATATTTATGAAGTAGCTTATCTGAACCTTTTCAACAAGGTACTGGAACATGCTTAATCATTTCATATTCTCTATTTCCTAAAGGTTGAAGAGATGGCCAGGAAATTGGATGATCTTCTAGAAGGTATAGAAGGTGAAGGTGGGTTTAGAGATGCTTCCATCCGTGCTCAAAGCAGTTCAGTTTTGGCATTGGAGGAAGGTATAGAGAGTGTATCGGAGAAATGCAGGATATGGAGAGTAAGCTTTCATATTCATTCTCTATCTCACCTAATATCTTGTATGATGCCATGTTTCTTAACATAAAACTTGTTTTGTTAATCTTGCTATTAATTGCATACATCTCTAAAATCAAGTACTTTATCCAATAAGATTTAATCATGAAAGTCCTAAACTGGATTGAACCTGGAACTCTGGCTTAAGAACAGTAGAAGGCACAAGTACTGTTGCTTTGTAATAGTTGATGATCTTGCTTGCTTGTAATTTCTATCCACACTTAGAACCTTGTTTCATGAAAAATCTGTTGTTGCCTAGTTGGAAAAAGTTGATGCTAGGTTGAAGGTGTTTGTTGCTCATGCTCTATTTTTACTATCGAAAGCTTAATTACACTAAATTCTGGATTCTGTATGTTGGCAGTCTAGATATGTGCATTTTCTGACTTTGTAGAAATTTCCTCAGAGATGTTTTGCTCAAAGAAAACAGAATTTCTAAAGGTTCTGTTAATGTACTGTTCAAAATCTCTTTTAACTAACTGCAAAAGTTGTACTGATAAGCTTGCCTTGACAACTTTCAAGGGTATTCGATCAATAATTGGTCCTCATTTTGGACATCCATTTTTTGGTAAAACAAACTGCTACATAAAGAGCAGAATTATAACCTATACCAATAACCAATGTCCGAGTTGGAACGCATTGAACATTCTTTCAAAAGATTATGTTCATAAAAAATTAGTTCCAGCTATAAAATAGGAAACAAGTCAAGTTTTGGGAAGAAGAGAACACTTCGTATGGTTGCAAAGGAATTGAATAAGTCACAAATGGATGAGGACTACTACTTTGATCAATATGTTGTGAAAATTCTCTTGATATTGTGATTATGCATCTCCCTCCCCTCTCCATAGAAGTTTATCTCTTCTTACTCCTTTACTTCCTCCTTGGGTGTTTTCTAATTTTTCCCTTGATATTCTCCCTAATAGTCTCTAAAACAGGAAAAAGGAGCATATGAAAAGAATTGAAGCCCATAAAACCAAATTTGAGATAACTGTGGTGAATGATTTGTCTAATTTCAAACTCTTCTTCCTTCTTTTTTTTTAGTAAGAAAGAAGGCAATTGTTGTGGAGTGCATCTTCTTGTTATTTGAGTTTAGTGTTTTGTCAATCAGCAAGCGCTAGTCATTATCCAAGTTGAGCAGAATCTTCGTCAATTGGAGAAAGTTTCAGAAGCCTTTCTGCAATAAATGGATGGATTGTCTGTGTATTTTCGCTTCCTACCAGAATTACAGCTGCATGAGTTTTAGAATTATTCCTTTTCTAATTGCAGGCAGTAATGGATAAACAACTTGGGGAGGTCCAGCTTCTCCTTGATAAGACAGTACAAGGTATATATCCTTGATCCTGTTCACCAAATAAAATAGGCTGACTTGTTATTCCCATGTTCTCCTATATATTATCAATCATTTATTTGATGTAGACATCAGAATCACGACAAAGAATCGATGAAGCAATTAGCAAGACAAATTAAGAAAACATAAACATTAACAAGACAAATTAATAAAACATTCTTCTTACTTCTATTGTGTGTTCAATCATTCCAAGATCTGGAAATGAAGTGTTACACTTCTAATAAGTTGTGAATTGTCATCTTTACATTTCAATTTACACCTCATAAAGTTGGAAAGTCACTGTCTTACTCGGACTTTCTTCTTTCTTCATACAATGTCTGTGACTGAGTGGATATAAGCTAAATTGCTCGGACTCATGTCTAATACCGGTGCAGATCTAGAGGTGAGAACATTGATGATCTAAATTTTAAAATTTAGGGGTATGGATCCAGGAACTATGCAGGTGTAGGGATTTGGCTAAAAATAATTCAAGTATCTAAAATAGACATATATGACTAAATTATGAGACATTACGTGGAAAACTTACAAGTTATTCCGTGGAAAAAATAGAAGAGAATCCCATAAGGTGATAAAAGGAAAAGTACTAACTAAAAAATTTCTATATACATGCTACATATGTTATGTCTCTTTTCCCTTTACCAACAAACGTAGAAGAGAGGTTGGATAAATTGAGGCGTGATTTCCTATGGTCGGGGAACAAAGAAGGGAAAAAAATACACTTAGTTAAATGGCAGACAACCTTACTAAGCAAGAAGACAGGGGGTCTTGGCATAAAAAATCTGAGGGTCCAGAATAAAAGTCTACTTTCTAAATGGCTTTGGAGATTTTTGGTTGAAGATCAGGCATCATGGAGAAGAGCAATTCTCAACAAGTATGGGCAGACCGAGGAGTGGATGTCTAACGTAGTAGATAGCACGTATGGGTATCAGTTTGGAGATCAATCAGAAATTTATGGAATAGTCTAAAGAAGAATTTAGTGGTCAAGGTGGGAGAGGGTAACAAAGTATTTTTTTGGAAGGACAAGTGGATTGGACAAGAGTGTCTAAACTCGGTTCTCCCCGATCACTTTTCATTTTGCACCAATCCTGAGGCTAAAATTTCTGAGATTTGGTCCCCTCAGGGATGGAACCTCACCTTCAGGAGAAATCTAAATGATTGGGAAGTGGATAGAATTGTTGAACTGCTACTCAAATTGGGTGAATTTACGGGCCTTACTACAGAAGCAAATGGTATAAGATGGAAACATGACTCTGATGGCAAGTTCTCTGTGCGTAGACTATATAGGAGAGAGGTCATGACTCACTTTGGGGGAGTTCATGGTCCATGGAAACAAATATGGGAGGGCACACCCCAACCAAGGTGAAATGCTTCACCTGGTTGGTCACCAGAAGGGCATGTCCCACTCAGGAGAAACTCAGATTGTCTCCAGATTTTTTTTTTGTCATGAGAAGGAAGAAACTAACAGCCACTTATTCCTACATTGCAGGGTTACTGCTCAGGTGTGGCGCATGGTCTACAACATTTCTCAAGAGCCCTGGGTGATGTCAGAACATACTGATGATCTTTTGAGCTGCTGGATGAGGAAGGGGGGGGGGGAGGGAGACAAGAAACAAAAAAAATGGTGGTCTATAGTACCTGCTTGTGTCTAGTGGGCTATTTGGAGAGAAAGAAATCTTAGGTATCATGAGAATATTACTAACACTATGCAGAAAGTTAAAGAAAATTGCATTAACATGTTTTTTTTGGGTGTAAAGAAGAGGGTATAGAAGTAGCAGAACAGTTGGTAAATTTCCTAGGATCAATGTAATTATGGTTTTAGCTTGTAACTTTTTGGACTTTGGAGGTAGCCAGCATATCCCTAATGCTAAAGAATACAATTTTAACTTTATCATTTTTTTTAAATATACATGCTATCCCAATTTCGACATTTTCACCGTAGTTTATTTTAATTACAAAATTCATTGCATTTGTGCCAGATTTCTCCGTCGATTTTGGTCAAAGTACCAAATTCGGTTGACCAAATCTGGACACAGATTTCACTCCCACGTTGTGTCGGCACAGATTTAGGCACCAAAAGTGAAGAGTCCGGACAACTTAGGATAGAAGAACCAATTTCAGTTGAAGTATAGACAGATTTTGTCTCAAGTTGTGGAGGAAAAAGTCAATTGGTGCCATCAAATTTGCAAATCACAAGTTTGATAATTGTAGTGGTATGCGAGATTTCTTCCCGTGCGCACACGAAGGGTTTTTCCAGGATGTAATTTCTTGTTGCTTAGGTTTTTCCTCTATAAGTCAGACGTGTTAAAGAATAACAAAAGTCCTACATCGATGGTTAATGAGGTGGGTGGACTCCTTAAAAGGCTTGGGCAATCCTCCTCCCTTTGAGCTAGTTTTTGGGGTGTGAGTTAGACCTATGATCTAATTTCAGATGGTATCAGAGCAAAGCCCGTCTCACCCGATGTTTTTTTTTAATGACAAGGGAAACCCGTAGCCGCTACCCTTTGGGTGTGCACAAGGTAAAACCCCCGCTGCTATGCAATAACTTGCAAACCACATAGGAGAGGTAACCCGCACCAGGCCTCGACCCAGAAGGCAATGGCAAGTGTCTCGAACTTGAGACCTCCAACATGGAAGTCCCAAGCTCAAACCACTGGCCACCCCGAAGGGTCCCGTCTCACTCGATGTTGGGGCTCTCAAAATCAAAAATTGCCCACGCACCAGATGCTAAGCACTGGGCGTGAGGTGGGATGTTAAAAGAATGACAAAGTTCCCACATCAGTGGTTAA